GTATGATTTATCAAAGGTGGATTTGTAACGGCGCAAAATTCAACATCTTTTCTTTTTTATTGCATTTATTGTATCTTTACTTTATTTATGTTATGTTTATCACAATCTCATTTTAAATCAGCTTGTGTTTATATTACTTACCGAAACCAATTACCTTTTTTCTTTTATAAGTTTCTTATTTCATGGTTATCTTACCTTTATCACTTTCTATTTCAGTGTGCAAAACGTTGCCCTGTCTAATCGTATTTGAATCTTCTTCCCTAACTCTCACCACTCCCTCACCCCCGCCACCACCAGGGGTCGCATCACACCAGTCACGACGATAGCGCCGCCTACGAAGACCACAACAGTTTTGGCGGGAAGACGTACCTGCGCCTGGGCTCCACTAAGTCCCGCCTCTATCTGGACTGCCTTACCGAGGAGGACCAGGGTCAGTACACGTGCGTGGCCGAGTCGCCCAAAGTGAGGAAGACACAGTCCACTCTTGTCACTGTCGGTGAGTGCTCACGTCTGCGCATGTATACACATCAGCTGTCTACACATACAATGTCTGTCTATATATTATCCACCCTCTGTGTATATATATGTCTACACATCTACTCCTGTCTACACATCTGTCTGCACATCTGTCTACACATCTATCTACACATCTGTCTACCTATCTGTCTACACGTCCGGTCTCTGTGTACATATCCACTCTCTGTCTACATATCTATCGACACATCTGTCTATACTACTCATCCACTCTGTCTACACATCGACTCTGTCAACCTTAGGACCTGCTCTATAAGACGCTCATCCGTACAAACGGTCACTTCCCATTTCCTCGTTTTCGTATTAAAAAACAAAAACATTATATGGACACTGTGTAAGACGGCCATCTGTCTAAGAGTAAGACAGCCAATCTTTCCGTGGACAATTGGTGGTTGCCTTAGACAGTTTTGACTGTATGGAAAGCTAGTTCTCACCTCTCCTGTTCGCTGCCAACTATGTCTGGTCCGTAATGTTTCAGAATGATAAACTTCTCTAGAACACGAATCCAATTTATTATATTATATTAATATGATAATAAGTGTAAAATGAACACCAGCATAAGCAAAAAGGACAACTCCAAGCAGAAAGGAATCCGTAAACCATAGGCACAATTATACCTTACAATTTTTCTGAAATACAGTGCGCGTGCTTTGTTGTATGCTAGATGTTTGCTTTTGGAGGGGTTTCTGGTAAATGAAACTGAAATTGACAAATCTGCACTGGTGATGAAGTTATGCTACTACATGTAGAGCGCGTTTCCAATGTGCTAAAGTTTCACTCATTTGTTCTCTGTTCTGTGTTTCTGTACAGAAAAAGGCGACGCCATGACATTAACAGACCTGGAAGGCTGCGTGGGGAAAAACTCCCATAGAAAAGGTAGACATCTTGTTCTGTTCTACATATAGTTTCTCTCCTCAAACTGCTTCAGAACTGACTATAGCTTCTTACGTCTTTTGTTTGTTTGTTTGTTTTCATTTTTCGTTTGCTTTTATTCCTTTGTTGTGTGTGTGTGTGTGTGTTTTTATTGCTGCTGTTGTTGTTGTTGTTGTTGTTGTTGAGTTTTTAAAAGACTTTAATGTAATTTCTTTTTTGTGTGTTTGTGTGAGGCTGGGGG